CTCGTTATCTCTAAAGAAGGCATCATGTTGTAAATCTGTCATGTCCCTCTAACTGGTGGTTTTATATGGTACAATGTAGAAATGCCAAACCTTACAGCTTTTGCATGTAATGAAACTGCTCCCAATTTAGGCTGCCTGTTTTTATGTCTCTATGATAACGCTATATTAAAATGTGGTACAGGTAGTCCTCGATTTGTATCCATTCATTTAAAGACAGTTTAAAGTTATGACAGACTTGGAAGAAGTGACTTACGAACCGTCGTCAAAAGTTAACAGCTGTCACACCATCCTTGCAGTCACAATTTGGGAACTTGCCAGCTAGCTTGCATTTGTGCTGGTTGTAGCATCTTGGTGTCATAACCTTCCCAACCAACTTCTAACAAGCAAATTAGGAAAGCCAGATTTGCTCAGCAATTATGTGATTCACTTAACAATCACATTATTCACTTAACAAGCATGGTTGCAAAATCGGGTCCAGTCATGTAATTATTCCCTTAGTGACCCCATCGCAAATTGTAGTTGTAAGGACTATTTGTAATCTGAATGGGGCATGTTATTTTAGATTAGGCTGCACCTTCCACTTAAATGAGAACATTATATTAACAGGACTGTTTTACTTTTCAGCTCTTTTTCCAAATTACCGATAATGTGGAAATTACTCTCGTTTTATCTTTTTTTTTTTTTTTTGCTTCATAGTGAGTTAAAGTTTTCCCCAAGAGCTTTTCTTCCCCCAACTTTCACTCATGCTATCAGAAAAGACTGAAGAGCACTTACGAGTTTTTAGAAAAGATCCAGATATCATACATTCTATTCCCTAATAATTTGGAGATGCCTTTTAAATTTTTCCCCTTCTGACAAAATACAGGGGTCCAGCTATATATGGGTATACACAAATGGACAACACTCTTCAAACTGGACTGGAGGAATAAATTGTTTAAAACATTTTTTAAAATGAGTGTTCAGCTTGGAGTGTTAAAATATGTTTTTCAGGTGAAATAAAAACTACATCAATTCCATAAGTACTACATCAATTTCCAAATAGTAATAGATCTAACTTGGGAGTAAGAGGAGGGAAATGGATGACTTTGTTCCATTTTCTTTTTTACTCATTTATATTTGTCTTTCACGTGTGCTTTCTTATTGCTGCATTTATTACTCAAATACATCTGAAAATAATACACTCATTCCAACATGAGAAAAATGTTGTTAATCTAGGCATCATGATACTAAAGTATGTTGTAGATTAGAAGGTGAAGAATGCTTGGAAGACTTGAAGATATTTTTTCTAAAATAGTTCTTACTGCTTGTCATAGTGAGTCTAGTGCCAGGGTGTCAAACTCAAGGCGTGCGGGCTAGATCCGGCCCACGGGTGCTTAAATCTGGCCCACAAGGTTGGCCTGCAGATAGCAAAGGATTGGCACATGGTGCCTCTGGCAGCCAAAATGGGGCACGGGTGTGTGTGTGTGCAGGCTGTTTCAGGCTGGACGGCATCCTGCAGCACCCTGCTGGCCAAAACAGGGTGTGGGGGGTGCGTGTGGCCCCCTGCACTCTGTTTTGGCTGGTAAAGTGCTGCAGGAGGCCATCCAGCCCGAAAATAGCCTCCTGCAGCATCCTGCAAGCCAAAATGGGGCACAGGGTGTGCACATGGGCCCCCTGTACTCTGTTTTGGCCAGCAAAGTGCTGCAGGAGGTTGTTCAGGCCGAAAACGGGTCATGGGGACGTCACACGTGGGCCCCCACGTCCCATTTTGGCCGACGGTGCTGCAGGAGGCATTCATTCCTTCTCTCCCCCCCCCCGGCCTGCGGAAGAGAAGTACAGTGCTGATCGAAGCGGCCCTTGAAGAAAACCAGTTTGACATCCCTGATCTAATGGATCTTACGTATTTTCCAACTGCTTTGCTTGTCATCCACCCCCTCCAGCTGGTATGCTGCCTTTTTTATTGCTGCTACAGAAGCTTGCATCATCTCGTTTGTTGGTATGCAATTTGTACAGAGCACAAAGCAGTGCAATGATGAGGATGAGGATGAGGATGAGGTGGAGGAGAAGAAAGAGGAGGTAGTGGTGTTTGGTAGTGCCTTCAGGATTAACCAACTTTATTAGGGCATAGATTTTGATTAACTATAGCACGGTTCAGCTTAGTTTAGGGCATAGTTTTCCATGAGCAATAGCTCAGAAGGAGTAAAAAAAGAACATTCACAGCTCTGATGGAAGGGGTAAGATTGACACCATGGTAAATTTTGTGCTGTGTGAGCAAGTTCCACTGTAGGTTGCGTTGGACATCTGTTCTACCTCACAGTTAAAAGAATAAAAGTGCAGGTTCTTTTATAAAACTGTACTTCAAGCCTTCCAATGCTGCAGTATGCTGAAATACTTTGCTATCTTTTGAATTTTCTACTCTTTTTCCTTCTCTGCCAAATTATAAATTGCTGAAAAAGCCAACCCAATTTCTCGCCTGCAACTCTGCTAATGTCTCTCTTTGCATTGTTTAAAGCAATGATTTTTTTATTTGTATAGCTTCCCTCCCTAAGGGAGCCAAAATGTTCCTGACTGCACTCAACTAGAGATGGAGATATTATGGCCTATCACATGTTTTGCATATAGAATCCCCAAATTCATTTTGTTCATATCTCAAGCTGTTAGGTTCTGGCAGTACATTGATTTGAAGGGTCTCCCTCCATCCTAGGTCCCTGACAGCCAGGGCTAGAAGATGGACAATTATTTTGACATGTCATGGCTTCTACGGGATACAGGCTTTTTTTTTTTTTAATTTCTCAAGCAAGTATAAGGTAACAGATATAAGTATAAACATGATTATGAATACAGGAAATGAATACGAATAAATGGGGACAGTAGGACATGGATGGTAGGCACGTTGGTGCGCTTATGCACGCCCCCTTTACACACGTCTTAGGAATGGGGTGAGGTCAACAGTAGACAGTCTAAGGTTAAAGTTATGGGGGTTTGGGGATGAAACCACAGAGTCAGGTAGTGCATTCCAGGCACTGACCACTCTGTTCCTGAAGTCATATTTTCTGCAATCGAGTTTGGAGTGGTTTACCTTAAGTTTATATCTATTGTGTGCTCGTGTATTGTTGCGGCTGAAGCTGAAGTAGTCATTGACAGGTAGGACGTTGTAGCAGTTAATTTTTTGTACTATGCTTAGGTCAGACCGAAAGCGGCGTAGTTCTAAGTTGTCTAAATCCAAAATTTCAAGCCTGGTGGCCTAAGGTATTCTGTTGCAAGCTCTGGAATGGAGGACTCTTCTCATTAAATATCTCTGGACTCGCTCAATTGTATTAATGTCCGATATGCGGTGCAGGTTCCAGACAGATGAGCTGTATTCGAGAATTGGTCTAGCAAATGTTTTGTATGCTCTAGTTAGCAATACGATATTACCAGAGAAGAAGGTACACAAGATTAGGTTAATGCCTTTTTGGCAATGTTGTTACAGTGAGCTCTGGCACTTAGATCATTAGAGATGTGTACTCCAAGGTCCTTGACAGAGTGAGGGTCGTCTAGGAGGTCGTATCCGCCCAGCTTGTATTTTGTGTTCTGATTATTATTATTTTTTGCCAATGTGTAAGACATTTGTTGGTTGAGATTTGGAGTTGCCAATTGTTTGACCATTATGATACATAGTCAAGGCATGCTGTATTCCTGGATTTCCAAATGGGCAGGAAGAATAGATAAGGATGGAGAGGGTTGGTGAAGATTTGGGTTTAGAAACCCATGGATTTGCCAGGAAGCTATTGGTCTGTTGTTTCTAGGATGTGATTGAAATGAGCTTCCGCCACAGGATGGTTTCTCCTCCCTATCCTGGGCAGCTGCTGAATTTAATCTTTCGGCTCTTCCTAGTTCCCGAAAGAAAACTCTTTATCGAGCAAATGATGAACTTTGTGGAACTTTGATGCATCTCCTTTTGCAATAAGCAAGGAAAGAGATTGGAGGAAGAATAGCTGAGCATGAGGCTGTATCTTGTACAAACAGATGGTGCTTAAAAGCAAAAATTGTCTTTAAAGTGAAGTGAGGGGTTGATGCTCAGAATTAGATTTTTTTCCCCCTCCCATTTCTTTTTTTTTCAAAGTAATTTGGCAGGCTGCTTCCATTAAGTTAAGTGACTGAACCAATGTGTGAAGGTATCCTATTTAGTAACCTCAATCTAAAAATGCATTTTTTTCCCCTTGAAGTGAAATAGTAGCTTAATAGCTGGAGCTTTGTGCTTTGTCCTCCCTTTTCCATTGAAATATAGCACCAAAGTAATGTTAATTATGTGAGGGATATCGCACTTTTTTAAATGTTGGTTAAATAAATCATTGGTCAAAAGTTCCTCAAGTTCCTTTCCTCTGGTGAGGAAAGATCATAATAAAACATTGGTAAAAAGGAAAGAGGCAAGAGAAGAAAGTCATCCTCGTACAAACAAAAACAAGATCTTGAAAATTTTAAGGTATAAGATATTAATCACAATTAAACAAACCAGCAGCTGCTGGTATTTACAATTTGCAGTAAATTGTCTGAGTGCTCAAACTGGTAGCCTGTGTCCATATGTGAAATGTTGAGATTCTATTGTAGGCCCTCTCATAAACAGGCTGTCATCTTGTACCTGGCCAGTCAAGAAATCCTGTTTAAAAATATGAAAATGAAAATTTTAAAAATGTTTATCATTAAGGAACGTGAATATCATATTGCTTAACTTTATCATTTGGGGAAGGAGGTGCTGGGCACCTTTCCAATAAATAAATAAATGGGCTGCAGCTGCCTGCAATATACATTATATAGATATGAAAAGAAAAAAGAAAAGGAGAGGAGAGGAGAGGAAAGAAAGAGGGAGGGAGAGAGGGAGGGAAGGAAGGAAGGAAGGAAGGAAGGAAAGAAAGAAAGAAAGAAAGAAAGAAAGAAAGAAAGAAAGAAAGAAAGAAAGAAAGAAAGAAAGAAAGAAAACGAACTAACTGGGCTTATGGGAAGACATGAATACTGAATTTATCCTTTTTTCTTCTTTCTAGAGCATTGTTCAGGCTACATTCATTGGTCATGATTGGGGTGGTGTCACAGTGTGGAATATGGCTCTCTTTTACCCAGAGCGGGTCAAGTAAGTTAATTTCTCTGTGACATTTGCATGCAATATATATGATAGTGATGGATCAAACACCAAACAGTGCTCATCATCTGGAGTTGTGAGGAGAAGTACAGTACATAATTCAGTGATATGTCTTACAGTATATAGTACATACTTAACCTTAATAAAATTAAATATATGGGTAGATTATCTTTAGTTGCTACCTTTCACCCTTTTTCTCATCAAATTCCATTTTTATTTGTTTCTAAATTTAATTAGAAAAATCCATGAAAATGTCATAAGTTAATGACTTGTCCTGTTAATGACTTGTCAGATTTTACCTTCCTTCTCCTTTGTCCATTACTTTGCAAGCCATTTTTATTTTGTCATTATTCATCTGCCTAAATAATATATTTCTCGTCATCTTGGTTTGTCTCTCAGTCATTGTATTTTTTAAAATTCCATTTCATTGTTGATGTCTATCCAGGATTACTTATACCTTTTTCTCCTTAAAAATTATGACATATCAGAGGCCAGTCTTCTCAGGCTGATGCTTTCCCCGTGAATCTAGAGCAGCCATCAGCCCTAACATGTCAAGTTCTTCAATTTACTTTTCTCCTAGATATTAGCATTCAGCAATAACCATATCTGACTGGAATTTGTCTTCCTTCCTTCCTCTCTCCCTCCCTCCCTCCGTCTCTCCCTCCCTGCCTCCCTCCCCTTGCTAGTTAGATTTTTTTTGAGATATTTATTAACAATATTTACAAGCCATTTTGGTACTAGAGCAGGCTAATGACTATTTTTTACCTTTTTTCTTAATATAGTACTTGTATGCATTTTTAAAACTTGTTTAAACTTTCTCAGCATTTCTGGGTCCTGGGTCCTATTTCTTTTTACCTAATCAATGTTTTATTATATTTGTATTCCACTTTTACTCAAGGAAATTATAGTAATCTGAGATTGATGTATATGTTAGATTTATATCCCAACTTTCTTCCAAGAGTTCAAAGTGGAGTATATAACATCCCTTTCCTCAATCTCTCCTACCCCACAACAAAAAATTGGACTTGAACCTGTGACTTTCTTCTAAGCCTAGTCCAGTTATTTTAATCACTGTCCATATTGGCTCTCTCTCTATGCCTTTAGAACTTGTAGAGATATTTGCATGGTCTTTTACCTTTGTTTGTCTCCATCACACTCCCTGCTATGTTCAGTTAATATATTGCCTTGCTGTGATACTCTGTCAGGAATGTGATTATATGGAAGTTTTAATGCACTAACCCCTGCCTTTCCCAGCCTGGTGGCTCCAGATGTCCTAGCACTGTAATTCTCAGAATATCATTCTGCACAACTGAAAGCCACTGAGTTGCCAAGCACTACATTAATAGTTTTCCCAGTTGCAATGTATGGCTGTGAAAGATGGACCATAGGAAAGGCTGAGCGCCAAAGAACTGAGGCCTTTGAACTATGGTGCTGGAGAAGACTCCTGAGAGTCCCTTGGACTGCAAGGCGATCAAACCGGTCAGTCCTAGAGAAAATCAACTCTGACTGCTCTTTAGAAGGCCAGATCCTGAAGATGAAACTCAAATACTTTCGCCACCTGATGAGAAGGAAGGACTCACTAGAGAAGAGCCTAATGCTGGGAACAATTGAGGGCAAAAGAAGAAGGAGATGACAGAGAATGAGGTGGCTGGATGGAGTCACTGAAGCAGTCGGCGTGAGCTTAAATGGACTCTGGGGGATGGTAGAGGACAGGAAAGCCTGGAGGAACGTTGTCCATGGGTTCGCGACAGGTCGGACATGACTTTGCAACTAACAACAACAACAATATTAATATATTTTGTCACCACTCCTGTCTGAAATAGTTCTTTGGATACACTACATAAAGTGATCATTCTTCAATACTGTAACTATCATTGATGTTTAATGTAGGACAATTCATTCTAATTGTTTTTTGTTGTAGCATCAAGCACAGAGGTCTGCCTCTCTGGACATACGACTTTTGTATCAAAACCCTCCCCTCGCTTTTCATCCCTTCTTCCTAATACCTTGCTGTTGTTTCAGGGCAGTGGCTGGAATAAATACACCCTATACACCTTCAAGGGCTGGAGTGAATATTGTGGAAAGGCTGGAATCCATTCCTGTTTTTGATTATCAATTCTACTTCCAAGAGCTAGTGAGTACTATAATAAGACACACATTTGTACTACATAGGTAGAGGAATGAGGCTGTACTGGAATCCAAATTTGGAGTGATCGTCCCAGCTTAATTGGGTACTTTCTAAAGAATGATGAAAAATAGTTTGAGATTGATCCTAACATATAAGAAATGGAACATCTGACCGTGACTCATGATCAGAGGAAGAACAATAGAGAGTCTGCAAGGGAATCCTTAAATTTCAGGCTTTTTGTCTCCCTAGTCAGATATCCTATATAACAGTCAGCCAGTTTTAACATATACTTAGTGTAGAAGCACCTAGCTGACCTTGGCTAATCTCAAATAAGTTAATCAGAGTGAGATCCACCTAGCAAAATAGTAGGATGTTCCAAAGCTGTAAGCTAGAGTAGGAAATAGAAAAATATCCTCAGAGAAGGCCCTTCTATATTGCCAAGGTTAGCTCTATACTTATTTATTAGTGAACAAATGGTTAAAAAATAAATCATACGAATCTGGCCTAACATATTTGCCATCCAACCTATTAATGTGGTCACCATGTAGTTATGGAAGTTTCAGGATGGGGCCAGGTTAGGGAAGGCTGAGAATTCTGGAGTGATGCTGTTTTAATATTTACTTGCTTTGTTTATTAGTACGTAAATATTATAATCTCTCTCTCTCTCTCTCTCTCTCTCTATTAAACTGCCTAGAGAGGGCTGTAAAGCACTGTGAAGCGATATATAAGTCCAAGTGGTTTTGCTATTGCTAAATTAATGGAATGACTTAAATGTTCTAATTCTATTTGTACAGCTATAAATGAATCCTGATAGAAAAAGGAAGAGGGGCCTGAAATACTCACTGTCCCCACAGCACTCTACGTTACTGAAACTGCTAACCAATTTTATTTTGCATAATTTAGAACTCTTAGCACACTGGGGTGGAGGTTTTTCTTGGCAGTGAATGTGTGTTGGCAAATTGTAAAAGAGAGATTTAGACCTGAGAACTCAAGCCCAAACTTGCAAGGCTGCCATAAATTCATTCTTTCTTTCTTTCTTTCTTTCTTTCTTTCTTTCTTTCTTTCTTTCTTTCCTTCTTCTTTCTTTCTTTCTTTCTTTCTTTCTTTCTTTCTTTCTTTCCTTCCTTCCTTCCTTCCTTCCTTCCTTCCTTCCTTCCTTCCCTCTTTCTTTCCTCTCCTCTCCTTTTCTTTTTTCTTTTCATATCTATATCCTTCCTTCCTTTTTTTTGCCTAATTGTAATTTTTGCAGACCACTGTAAAGTTGCTTCTCCAGCACAAAATGGCTAGTCCTGTCCCAGAAGCCTGTGCCAGACTTGGCTATTCCTGGAAAAAAGAGAGAGGGTTTTTTTCCCCCCTATTTGAAGATGAGATCCTGGTAGTTTCTGGGGGGTGGGGGCAGGGGTGCTATTCAGCAGGTTCTGGAGAACCAGTAGCGTAAATTTTGAGTAGTTCGGAGAACCGATGAATACCACCTCTGGCTGGCCCCAGAGTGGGGTGGGAATGGTGATTTTGCAATATCCTTCCCCCAGGAGTGGGGTAGGAATGGAAATTTTGTAATATCCTTCCCCTGCCATGCCCACCAAACCACGCTACGCCCACCAAACCACGCCCACAGAACCAGTAGTAAAAAAAAATTTAATTCCACCACTGGGTGGGAGGAAAAATGGGGACCTACATAGTGTATCAGGTACATCTTCCCTTGTATTAAATGACGAGAATAGAAGGAACTTCTAGACAACTAAAGTGCATTGCCTTGTCATTTTTCTCCATGCATTTAAGAAGACTTCCCCAGCCATCCATATTGAAAGCCAATCTAAGTCCTCACTTGCATCCTACAGTTATATCTCATCAGCAGTTCAGCTTGCAGAGTTAGGAAGAAATACTGCTGAGGCTGAGCACTGAATCATAGCCCCACTAGGCTACAGAGTAATCTAATTTAGCTTTGCAAGAGAAGACTCCATTAGTTAGAGATCAGAGAATGACTATATGGCTGCATTTGGGCAATTGAAAATTTGAGCCTCTTGGGTTCTCTTGGCCCAAAGAGACAAGGGGCTACAAATCTGTTCCTGACAGAGTCTATTTATTGAAGATTCTGATTGGCTTTTTTTCTTTGTTTCTTTTAAAATATACTAAATATTTGGTTTAAAAGCCAATTGTATAATAATAAAGTGGAGGATTGGGGACAATGGGCAAATTCTGTTCTGAATAGCATTCCACAAGCGCATATAATCATTTTTATGCATGGCCAAAAAACAAGTGCAGGTACTGTTTTAAATATTGGTATAAGATAAAAGTTTAACAAATAAATTAAATGGATTTTTTAAATGATTTATTGATAAATATTGTATATAGTAAAACATTTGAAAACTCAAACTCATTACTTTCTTAGTAAATAACTTGTTTTTATAGCCATGGTTAAAAATTTGGCTGTCACCATTGTAATTTTAGGATTTTTGTCTGATAGTTAAATTTAACTAAATTCAGAAATGGATCCTCGTGGTCTTGATTTTAAAATAGGCCAGATAAATATCGTGCTGAAAAAATGCAATGAAATATGAGCCACAGTTTCAAAGTCAATACCATTACACGGACAATAGCTTTGAGAGATGGGAAACTTTTGAAATCTGCTACATAATATATTTGATAGTGACACATTTAATCTGGCTTTTCAAAAGGATTTTTTACATTTATTTATATGTAGCAATAGCAGTTAGGCCTATATACCACTTCACAGTGCTTTACAGCCCTCTGTAAACAGTTTATGGAATCAGCATATTGCCCTCAACAATCTCGGTCCTTCTTTTACCAACCTTGGAAGGATGGAAGGCAGAGTCAATCTTGAGCTGGTGAGAATCAAATTGCTGGCGGTCAGCAAAATTAGCCTGCAATACTACATTCTAACCACTGCGTCACCACAGCTCCTGTAAACCACTGAGATAGAAATAGCTGAAAAGCATCATTGTAATTTATTCCAAAGGTCAGGAGTGAAGCCAGAGATTTGATTAGTAGAATAAGTATAGGTCTATGCCTAGATTGTCTGGGACTTGGGGCTCATGTGTTGGTATCAGAGGTGTCTACAGAGTATAGTTAAACAAATTTAAGATGGTGGCCATAACAAAGCAATCAAAGCTATGCCTGATTTTTAGATGTGTTTCAACAAAAAAAAAAAAACCAGGTGCTTTGATTTCTCATTGTGGCTGTGTCCTCCTCCTTCTCCTCCAAATACTCTGCAGATGTGCTTGGTTGGGATGGAATCCAGAAGCCGGAAGTAAAATCTAGTTGTATTTAACTGACACAGATGATGCTTGTGCTTACATTGTGTGGTACCTTAGACTAGAGCTTTCGATAGCATTTAGCATTTACACTTATATACGGCTTCATAGTGCATTAAGACAGCGCTCTCTAAGCAGTTTACAGAGTTAGGATATTTCCCCCAATGATCTAGGTCCTCATTTTACCAATCTCGAAAGGATGGAAGGCTGAGTCAATCTTGAACCAGTCAGAATTGAACTCCTGGCTGCGGGCAGAGTTAGCCTGCAATATTGCATTCTAACCATTGTGCCACCACGGCTCCTAAATATTCCAAAAAATAAAATAAAATGACTGTGAAAAGTTCACTTCTCTTGGATAGAGAGAAACACTTGTTCATAAATGTGTCATAATTGCATGCATTCTTCTTTTCTAGGCCCAAATTACATATTTTTAGAAGTGCCTTGAAAATTTGAGCAAACTTCTGGATCACTTACAAAGGGCAAAATTCTATCAAGAATAGAAAACAATGAAGTCTTTTTATATGATTAATGAGATTGTCAGGGAGGCTAAGAAAATATAACTTCAGAAATGCTGTATGGAGATATTTATATCTCAAAAATGCACATTTTTCTTCTTTGTTTCCTTTTCTCTTTTATTAAATTAGGTAAAATGAAATCAACAAAGGCGTCCAGTTACCAAAAGGATAGAGGCTGCCTTTTTTCTCAGATAGACAAAAGTGAAGGGAGCTGAGAAGGGCCTCTAAAGTCTGGTGCTAGCTATAGAAATAGCCCTGCTCTTTAAATGGGGCAAGGAACAGGAGAGGAATTGACGTAGATACAGTAGTGGCCAAAATTTTGGAATCCTTTTTGGAAAAAGTATTTTTGTGAGGTTTGATGGCTAATAACACCATTTTGGGGGGGGGGGATTTCAAGATAATCATATTCCACTGCTGGAATGGCCTGGGAATAGCCCAGACCTTGAAAATTGAAAATATGTAGAGCGACTAAAGAAACTACCCAGCAATAAAACCCAGTTAATAGAAGCAATCATTCAATCTTGGTTTCACATTATAACAGCTGCAGAACTAAAAGACTTGGTTCACTCCATGGGAAGACGTTTTAAGGCTATAATTTATGCTAAAGGTTATCGAACGATGTATTAACTGATGTGATAATTTTTGTATATCTTGTTTTTCTAGGGATAATTTTTGTATATCTCATTTTTTCTACGTGTTTCACTTTTCTTCTTTAGACTGCAACTGCTATTCTAATAGCAAATCCTTCATAAAAGTTATTGCACTACATTATTGATTAACTTATCTTTCCATTGATATATAATTTTATGGTACTACTCCCAAAAAAAGTGGTGTTATTAGCTAGTTTTAGAAAATTTTTCCCAAAAGGTTTCCACAATTTTGGCCACTACTGTATGGACTTCAACTCCCAGAATTCTCCACCAGCATATCTGGCTGGAGAATTCTAAGAGTTGAAATCCACATGTTTTAAAGTCACCAATATTGAGAAACATTGTCTTAGATAGTGGATGCTGGGTGCCAGAGGAGGGGGGGAAAACTATTCAACTCCTTGCATTCCCTCAATGAGTGATTCAAATAACCTTTTTCCCCCCCCCTCTTATAGGGAGTTGCAGAGGCTGAACTGGAGAAAGATATAATCCGAACTCTGAAGATTGTGATCCGATCTAGCAGGAAGGAGGTCAGTCCTCTTGCATGAATGGTTTTGTCCCAAAGGGAAAAGAAGGGATCTCAGATGGTATTGGATGCTAAAAATCTGTAAAGAAGTACATTGGAAATGATGTTTTTGGACTAATTACGCTCTTTATCTTAGATTAGCACAAGTATAGCCGGAAATCCATTTTTCCATTGTCCAGGATAGGAATAAGGAGGTGCAACCTAGAATTCTTGGTGTATTTCTGGTTAAGAGAATATTGAAGATATTGGTTTCTCCATTTCAAAACAAAAACAACAGTCAAAATGTTTTATTCTTTAAATTAATCTTCAAAATAAAATGGTAAACCAAGATTCGATTTTTAAACAAAACCAGAATTTGTGCAGTTGGGGAACTGAAAACAGATTTCTAGTCTTAGCATATGTGGGTTGGCATCATCTCTCTTTATCTCCAACAGATGACTTAGATTTAGAATAACTTCATTGTCACTTTGAATGTACACTAATCGGCATACATTAAAATGAAATTTCATTGCATAGAGCTCTCAGAGGGTCACCACCTCCTATATAGACTACATAAAGATGACAAAATAAATATTATGCATATACCTACATATATTATATGATACAGAAAAACAAGACAGTCTAGTTCGGATGTATACATTTACACGGCAAGAAAAATGATTCTTGCAAGTTTACCAGATGGATGGTATAGGGAACAAAGCTGTTACAGAATCTGGTAGTCCTGCTGATAGTTCAAAACCTCCTCCCAAAGGGGAGCAACAGAAACAGACCGTAAACTGAGTGCGTGGGGTCTCTAACAATGCTTGGAGCTCTAAGCACATAGCGCTTATAAGCAGTATCCTGAATGACAGGAAGTGACCTTCCTATAATCTTCTTGGCTGTCCTTACCACTCTCTGAATGGACTTTCTATCTGAGGTACTGCTGCCACCAAACCAAACAGTGATGAAGTTTGTTAAAATGCTCTCAATTGTGCCTCTGTAAAAAGTGGCCAGGACAGAAGGAGGAAGATAATACTGTAGTAGTGAACTCAGGAGTATTCGACATAAAGGGTAGTGCTACTTGGCTGCTAATGCTACATGAATTAGACCGATTTGATTTAACTGGCACAATATTACACCAAATGCAAAATTAAGGACTTTTTGGATTAAAATCATCTTAACCACTGAAATAAAAACTGGTTCAATGTGTCTTCGTGGCTCAGTTATCAGCCTCCTCTGATCTGCCCTAAGCTTCCTCACTTTTGCCACATTTCATTCAAAATGTTTTCCTTACAGGATAAAATGGGAGGATCTTCTCTTAGTACAGCTGGAGTTAGAAAGCGAGGTAAGACATTGCAACCCCCCATCAATGGAGGTTAAATACTAATAATTTCAATTTTTTAAAATGGGATGGGAAAATTCTAGGGATCCAGAACTATAGATTAGACCGGGAAGTTAAAAAACATCTGAGAAGATGATAATGGCAAACCACATCCCATATTCCTGCCAAGAAAAACCTCATGGACACAAGAATTTGACCTGAGAGCGTATTTTACCCTTTATTTTTAAAATTATTCTCTTACCACATTGAAAATTGCAGTTGGCAGTGACTTCCATACAGGTTCTAAGTGCTGCAATCAAACCTTTGGGGGAACACAGTTATGCCTTCTTATTTAAATAATGTTACTTTGCTGATGCTGTCTCAGAAAGTCTTAACAATCCAGTTTTTTACTCTGAATTGGAGGGTTTCATGCATTGAAATAGGTATCAAGACAGTCTGATCCAGTGCTAGGAGAGGGCACTTGCATTTTGGCTTCTACCTTTTGCAGGGAAGCCTTTTATCTGTTCTAAGGAGCCAAGCGCATTGGACAGCTCTTCCTGGAAGGCTTTGTGCCTCTGTGTCAGTGCCAGATAGTCTTAAAATGATTCAGGAAGAGAAAAATATTGATACTAAGCATGAAGTTTAAACAAGTGAAGGAGTTTATTATAAAAAGAGTTTCCTAGCTCAGATTTAAGGTCTCATTGTTTACATCTGAGGCAGGGGTGGGATTGAAAATTTTCAACAACCAGTTCACTGCCTGGTTGCTGGGTAGGCGTGGTCATGGGGTTGTGGCCTACCCAGCCTCCTGCATCACAGCGGCAGGGGGGTGTTTTCGCCCTCCCCACACTCCAGAGGCTTTCCTCGAGCCTCCAGGAAGGCGAAAATGGCCTCCCCTGGGCACCAGAGGCCCTCTGGAGGCCATAAATGGGCCCGTTTTCAGATTTCCAGTACTTCCGGTAGGCTCATTTTTTGCTCTCCCCAGGCTCTGGAGGCTTTCCTTGAGCCTCCACGAAGGCAAAAACAGCTCCCCTGGGCATCTGAGGCCCACCGGAGGCCAGAAACAGGCCCATTTCCAGACTTCCGATAGGCCCGTTTTTGGGCTTCCGAGAGCCTCCGCATGCACCCTGCACTTACCTGGCATCCAAAACTGGCTGCGTGGAGACTCCTGGGAGGGGAGGAGCAGGGTGGGCGGGGTCAGCCAGTCTTGGAACAACTGGTTTGGCAAACCAGATTAAAATTAACATCTGGTTCGTCCAAACTGGCCGAATCCCACCCTGATCTAAGGCAGCAATACTGCAATACTTCTCATTTTAATCTTTTCTGTGATGCAGGGGGGCTGTTTGTGGGACTTCCTGAAGACCCACCTCCAAGCTCTCTTCTTCCAGAGCCAATCCTCCAGTACTATGTACAACAATATCAAAAATCTGGATTCAGGTAATGCAGCTTTGGGTGTGTTTATTTCGGTTTTATTGGTGTGCTCAATACCCATATTATTAACATTGAAGCAATGATTTGCCAGTTTCATTGCTGGAGACAATGAATGGTGGTGGCCACTAGAATATATATGGGCAAATTTATGTAAGATAGTCTTGCCGGCAGAGGCAGCGTTCTGTTAGATATTCGCTGAGAACCAACCGTAGAGATTGGTAAACCATCATTCTCAAAAGAGGGGATCTCTGATTTACAACTGTTGAGCTGTGGAGAAGAGAGAGAAATTGTAGAGATATAAAAAAACAGGAATTCAAAAGTTCTCATAAAATTATTTTCAACCAATGTCATTTAAATTCAATGGCAGCTGGTTTTAATCCACGCAAGGGATAAATAAAACTGATTGTATGTGCAAATGCCATCTTGCTTAAATGTACCTTTAGGTCTCCTTCCTCTTTATTTTTGCTCCTGACTTTTTTTTCTCTTCTCTGCCTATCGCTTCCTTGAAGCAGGAAGCTGACCCAGCCAGGCGTTTTTAATGCAGTGCAGAATTTTGTGTTCTGTTGGGGGATGAGAGGAGAGCTAGGAAATGACAGGCAGCAGCTGCCAGAAAAGTTTTCTTTGCTTCCAGTGTCAGCCATGAAAAAAAAAGAAAACTGCAAATGTTTCTCTCCAGTGTTACTGACAGTGAGTGAGGTGGTGGAAAATTGCCTTAGCTATATATGCTTGTATTGGGAGGACTCCGTATTTGGTGCAGATGCTTGAAGTTTGGTGGTGGCCCAAAAAAATGTATGCTAAGTCCTGGTTTTTTTTCTTTTTCTGCCTCTTTCAGGGGTCCACTGAACTGGTACCGAAACATGGAAAGAAACTGGTCTTGGGGTGCTTCTACCCAGGGCAGAAAGGTGAGGATTGAAGGCAGGGGTGGTATTCATTTACCTTCGCCTCTCCTTCTCCTGAAAGAGTTTAATCATGGCCAACATTGACTGATGTTGAGTAGAGTCAGATATGGTTAATACATAGATGAGGGAAATCCAGGAAATCCCAAGGCAATACTATAGGCTGGGAAGGAGAAACAAAAATCAGAAGGTGGTAATGACACATCAGTTCCATATTATTGCTAAGAAAATTAACAAAGACATACCTAAAAATCTGGCTCAGTTCAAGAGATACATTGACCTTCCCTGAAGGATCATAAGTTAAAGGCTCCTGGTAGAAATGAGCAAGGCTGAAATGAAAAATTGATCTGGCCATTCCAGACTATTGTTTTCTTTTTCTTGTTGTTTTCACACACAAATACTGCCCCTAGCTATTCACGCAAATGTATAGACATTAATACATATTTCTGTGATTTATATTGGGGAAATATTTGTTCATTCCAATCAAGGTTTTTTTTTTTTCTTTCAATGCATGCTGTAGGCAATGCATTCCTTTCCACTGTGGTATAGAGTAGCCCTTAGACTTGTAATTTCACGTACCTCTATTTAATAACTTTTGATTTACTCTCCTTGCTTGCCTATTGAAAGATTCTAAGAATCTTGAAGTAATTTTGATGGGTTCTTTGCATGTTTCTTTCCTAAACTCTTGAATATCAAACTTGTTTCAAGTCACTCAGCAATCTTCAGGTGAACTGAAAGATTCAATAGCAATAGCACTTAGACTTATATACCGCTTCACAGTGATTTTACAGCCCTCTCTAAGCAGTTTACAGAGTGAGCATATTGCCCCCAACAATCTTGGTCCTCATTTTACCCACCTCGGAAGGATGGAAGGCTGAGTCAGCCTTGAGCCTGGGTGAGATTCAAACTGCCAAATTGCAGTCAGCTACCTGCAGTACTGCATTCTAACCACTGTGCCACCGCAGCTCATATCCCAACTGTCCTATTCTTTATCCAACCCTGAGTTGCATTGCCTGTACTATTAGCATTTTTCTGATGTTCAATAATTCAAGGCAAGTATCTTTCCCATAAAACATTTCAAAGCTGTTATAGACTGTTTTAACAATTTCACTCTAGACTGTGCATCAATCAAGATTAAAAACTCATGTCTTTTCCTGGAAAGTCCCACATTCAACTTAATCAGATGCTATTATTTGGACTCTATCTATACTCTGAATCATATTTTCCCTTTGAATCCAGCCTTAGTTTGAAAGAGCAAATGAAAAAATATAAAATGGAAAGAAAAAATAAAACAGTAAAATTGAATGAAAGCTGCTTTTACCAGTTGCACAGCTTAATAGCCAGGGTTGTGTGGATTCTGTATTAAGTTATAAAAGCAGTGTAAGTTCTCTACCTAGCAAAGCCTTAATCATCTCATCAGCATCCCTCTTTGTCAAGCTACAAGATTAAGCTATTGTTTGGAATGACAAGAAGCTGTCATGGGAATGAGTTGAGCTTGCTTTGTGCCCGTGCCTTCTGGCAAAAATATTCTTCATTCAAGTAAGAGTTACCGTATTGGATTCCTGCAGGGATAGGAAATCATTTTGAATTAGTGGGCGTAGTCAAAATGCTGACAGCATGATGGGGAAATGATTGCCATGGCTTATTCACAAAATGGTGCTACATTGAGGTTGGATGAGTCATAAAATGTTCATTCCCGTGAAGAGAAATTAAGGAGGGGGGCTATCTGACTCTACAGAATGATCTCTGGCACCCCATCTTGCTTTTACCTTTTATTGGAAATAGTAGGCATATTTTCAGACATGGCCCTAGGTATGGTGACATGTAATTTTGTTGACCTTTGGATTACTGACTCATTAAAGCAGGGTTTACTTTTTTAGACACACCTCAGCCGGAAAAGAGATGGGGGTGTTTGAAGAAAATAGCTGACAGGTGCTCATGTGTGATCCAGATCACTTCTGAAATTTTCAAAGGCTCTATAGCAGGGATGTCAAACTCAAGGCCTGTGGGCCAGATCCGGCCTGTGGGGTGGTTAGATCTGGCCCACGGGGCTGACCTGGAAACAGCTAAGGACTGGTTCATGGTGCCTCTGCCAGTGAAAATGGAGCTCGGGAGCCCATTTTAGCTGGCAGAGTGCTCGGGCCACCACAGGAGTCCCCAACATGAGTGACGTCGAACTGGCCATGCCTATCCCAGTCCCCCAAGGTCAAACACAACCCTGATGCGGCCCTCAATGAAATCAAGTTTTACATCCCTGCTAGCCTTCTACTGTTGTCTTGTTTTTCCGGATTTTCCAGCCTCAAAAAATGTCTATGGCCCTGCTGATCAGATGCAATATATTAATCTTGTATCTGATGCAAGTCCAGTGAAGTTTATCCTTCAATACCATTTTAGTGTTTTAAAGTGCCACATGATTCCTAGACTATTGCTGAGGGAAGAGGGAATAACCTTGAAGGGCAAAGCAAGAGCCAATATTAAGACAAAGGGTCAAGATAAAAGAAAGCTAAATCTGGGGCAAAAATGTAAACCAAGAAAGTGTCTCAGAAAGGTTCATTCTCATAAATATAAGGGAAGGAAGAGGTAAGTGCATTCAGGTTTGCAATATTCTATTACTACAGCTGTATAATACAAGTAGGGTTGGCCTACTCTTTAATTTCTTCGTCTGGTCTACCTTGAAGGGCTGACACCTCACTTGCAAACATAGCTGTTTGGGGGGAATTTGCACTACAACCATAAATCTTCCTTTCTAGATCTTTATGAGCAACTTTACAGTGACTTTGGTCTCCCAAGAGCAATTTCTTCAAATTTGACCGCTGCCTTGTACTTCAGCTTCTTCTGCTCTGCCCATCTCTAAGAAAGCTCCTAATTTTTGTCAATATATTAATATATAGCTGTTACCATGTAGCTGAAGTGTTCATATGTGTCACAGTTTGCTGATCACCACTGCATATGGCTTCAAATCTCCATTCATCTCTAAATCCACAGATCACAGTTCCTGCCCTGATGGTCACTGCTGGAAAGGACAGAGTTCTCAGTCCAGAAATGAGCAGGCACATGGAGAAATGGGTGAGTTTCCATAATTAAAACAAATACAATAAATCAGAGACAATAAATCAATGTCTGTCTACACTGAATTCTTCTATTTCATTTCATGGAACGGAGTTGAAGGAATTCTTGTTACTGGAAGTGCTGCAGCAGTTCAAGGTCAAACAATGCTTTTTCTTTCTTTCTTCCTCTCTGTTTTGAGATTTGTCAGATTTGAAAATCATGCACTGCTTTTGAAAATTTGCAGTGTGGAAGACAGGGTGATATGAGAGTGCCTTTTACCTCCTGGTTTGTCTTCTCGTAAAAAGTCATCCCAACTTTTCATTTCACTGTATTTTAATTTCGTTCTTGTGTTTAAGAAATACCAACTAAATAGTGACTCCTTAGTTATTACACATAGGTTTAGGTTTCTTGAGACAGGGAAAAAACTCAAGAATACCACTAAATTAGGGTTATTTGACATCTCATTGTAGATGAGATGACACAATTCCTGACTGACATATCTTGTCATAGCCAAGGGACCTTTCCTGTTTCACAAAATAGCAAAATAGTTTCAATTGGCCATGGCCTGTACCTTTTCTTCTTCCTAGTTGGCCATGGTGTATACTTTTTTCTCCCCCTAGATTCCACAATTGACTCGTAGCCATATTGAAGACTGTGGGCATTTCACACAAATGGAGAGGTAAGTAGTGCTGAGAGATAAATTGAAGGAGATAGATAGATGATAGATAGATAGATAGATAGATAGATAGATAGATAGATAGATAGATGCAAATAATTTATTTTAAAATGCATGCCTGTAAAAAACACATTAGCTTATTATTCTGAATAAGTTGTTGAGATTCGTTATTAAATGATCTGCATCAACATTCCCTTCAAATTCAAATTAAGTAGTCTTGAGAAATTCAAGGGGGGAGGCAGGTTGTCCCAGCATGAACCAATTTGATCTGCATCTCCAAAATAATACAATGATGATAACTTAAGTTATTCACTGGCATTTTTGGTGTCAGGCATAAGAAATCAAGAGACAAAATTCAAAAGCACTTAAAAGTTTATTTCATGCTACCTATTCACAAGAATCTGATCTACTAGCGGTCAATGAAAATTGGCACCAGAAAAGAGTCAATGGACTTCAAAAGGGACTTAGATCTCTTACAAGGGTGTAACAACTCCAGATTGATGATGTCTTTGATCCCATCCTCAGGCTCAACCTGGTCATCTCCTACATTTAGTTCCTGAATATTCCAATTCAATCTTCCACTCAAAACACACATCCTAATATTTTTATAATTTTGGGGAGAAATTTCATTTAGAAATGCCCATGTGAACGCATTTTAAAATATATATTTAACTGTTAATACCTTTGGATTGCACTTTTAAAAATATCACCAACTAAAGTGGAAGTAGGATGAAATGCATTTACTGAATGAACATATAAAAAGGAATGTGAATGTAATTTTTATTAAGTTTAATTACAATAATAACTAATAGAGTTATTATTGTAATTAAATAATAATAACTAATAGAGTTATTATAGAGCCAAGGTGGCGCAGTGGTTAGGGTGCAGTACTGCAGCTACTTCAGCTGACTGCTAGTTCAGCAGATCAGCGGATCAAATCTCACCGGCTCAAGATTGACTCAGCCTTCCATCCTTCTGAGGTGGGTAAAATGAGGACCCAGATTGTTGGGGGCAATATGCTATTTAGTATACTGTCTTTGGTGTAAGCCGCCCAGAGTCCTCGGAGAGTGGGCGGCATAGAAATATGAATAATAAAAATAAATAAATAAATAAATAAATAAAATACCAACTAAACTTAAAGAAAGAAAAGAGAATGGAAAGAAAGAATAAAAAGTCCAGGAAAAATGAAGAAAAGGAAAAGAAAGAATATAATAGAAAAGAAAAGAAATATCTAAAGTGATTTACAACTTCCATTACTAGTATAACTCTTCACCTCCTATAAGATTAAAGACCAATGTCTCTTCCTCCCAAATCCCATCCCTTATCTATAAATAAATCAATAAAACATTAATTTAAAAAGGATCTGAATACAAATGTCACCAGTTCAGAAATCCAGCCAAGGGCACCAGAGATTGTTAGGAATGGAACTCCAACGGTTTTCATATGTACAGTATCTTGAAGAGCAAGATTTAAAGTAAATAAAAGAAATCTGGAATTGGAATCTGGAACAAACAAGACAGAATTGGAAACTGAATTATGTGTAACTGATAAGCCTTTACAGGTAGGCCTTGATTTACGACCCATTGCTTAGCAACATTTTGAAGTTACAGCAGCCGGTCCAAAAAGCTATTTATGGCCTGGTCCTGAAGTTAAGCCAATGCAGCACCCACATAGTCATCTGCCTTTACAACCAACCAGAGGGACACTGCAGGGATAAAGATACCTCTTTCAAGAGCTGAGAACTGTTTACTGTTGCTAAACACTTCAGATTCTTGGTCCATCTAATCCAGGGGTGTCTTCAAACTTTTCAGTCTTAGAGCCACACTGGACAGTTTGCAAACATTCAAAGGCCGGGGAAGAAAAATCTATTTTAAAATAAATGAATAAAATTTAATTGATGAATATATTTGATCCCCACAATAGGCAAATGCCTACAAAAGTTGAAGGAGTTAGCAGAGATGACTAAATTGACTGCTTTGATAAAAGGAAAAAACCTACATGCTTTTTGTTTCTACTTGGAAACAAGTAGACTTTGTGCTTGATTTTGGGTTTTACCGATTAGATAGATTTGTTGATATAGAAATGGCTAGTTTATACTATTACGTAAAAGTAAAAAGGTGAGATTTAATGTTACTATTTATTTTACTGCACCAAAGGGAGTCGGAAGTCAACCCCTTTTCTTTCTTTTTCCCTTTCCCTTCTTTTCTACACTCTTCCCTTCCCTTTTCTCTCCCCTATTTTTCCTAATATATATATATTATTTTGCTCAATGTGCTATGATTCACAACAACAGCAAAAAAGAAATAAGACAATTACAAAGAAACAAGGCTGTCCTTGTTCAGAGAAATGATATAAGAAAAATGTCAAATATTAGCAAAGATAAAAATAGAGAGAAGCTATGCTAGATAAGGCCAGTACCCAACTGGTCCAGATCCCTCCTCCCCCCTCAAGCAAAAGAAGCAATCCTCCAGCTGGCATCCTTTTCTCCATACACCCAGCTCTGAGCCAGTTCGGATGGGACTTTGTTTGCATGGGGGGGGGGGATGATCCAAGAGGGAGCCCCTCTCTGGCAAAGGAAACAACCCTCCAGCCGGCTCAGAGCTGGTGCAAATTTTAAAAGTGAAAAAAGCTGGTGCAAATTTTAAAAGTTCAGCAACCCTCCACTGGCTCACAACACACACACACACACACAAACACCATCACAGAAATCAAGGGAATCCTATTTTCCTTTCCAAACATGGTGAATACAACCTTGCTTTCTCCCCCTGCGCTGTTTGGAAAGGATCAGAGCACAAAACATGGGATGAGCTGGCAGGCTTGAAGGAAGCTTCTGGAGGGCCAGTTGTAGCCCATAGGCCAGAGGTGGGTTTCAGCAGGTTCTGACCACTTCTGGAGAACCGGTAGCGGAAATTTTGAATAGTTCAGAGAACCAGTAGTAAAAATTCTGACTGGCCCCGCCCCCATCTATTCTCTGCCTCCCAAGTCCCAGCTGATTGGGAGGAAATGGGGATTTTGCAGCATCCTTCCCCTGGATTGGGGTGGGAATGGAGATTTTACAGTATCCTTCCCCTGCCATGCCCACCAAGCCACACCACACCCATCAAGCCACGCCCACAGAACCGGTAGTAAAAAAATTTGAAACCCACCACTGCTGTGGGCCATAGTTTGGAGACTCCTGATCTAATCCAAGACTGAGATCTCCAAGGTTTTGGACAGAGATGTGTGTGTTTGTGTATGTGTGCAAACATGCATATAAGCAGAATTAGGGTTCACCCAAAACTTTTATCAAAGATTTCTGTATGTTAAGGCATTCTGTGCCCCTGTGTGCAAACTGATGTTTTATTTATGCCATAAAATCTTTTGTCTCGTTCCGTCTACCCCTTTCCTGCTCTATTGTTCACTTGCTTTTTATAAACTGCCATCTTCTTAATGTCATGGCAGTTCATTTTTTTAAAAAAAGAATACTATGAAAAAGGCCTTTACGTGAGATACTGGCTAAAATTACATAATTACACTTTGGTAGCGTTCCTACACAAAGGATGATAAATTCAAATAAAGAATGAATAAACTTCAGTAGGAAGATGAATTATTTTAGTTTCTCGTAAGAATCAAATGTGCCTTTCTCTCACATCCCACATTTTACAACATGGTTTAAAGTATCACCAGTTAAGTAGGATGTAAAAATATGCTTATAAGAAGTGGGTGAGGGAGCATGAGGGACAAACTGAATGGTGAAGGGCATGCAACTGTATTGCCACCTGTAGGCAGAAATACCAAAATGCTGTAAGTTTAGGTACCTTTAAAAATGGATTGATTTGACTAGAATCCGATTCAATCAAATGGAGATTGGATTCTTCTTGTAGTTCTTTTTAGCTTCTTCTTACTTGACACTTTTTCTCTAGTCCCAGATTTGGATAGGGACTTTCTGTGGAGTCCTTGGTGGTTTGCTTGCAGATATTTCATTACCTGACTAAGTAAACATAATCAGTGCTAATGTGTGTATGGGGTTTGCTCCCTGTTTATATAATATAGTAGCTTGCTTTGCCAGTATCAGTAAGGGTGTGGCTTTCTCCTTGGCAGTGCCTTGATTACTGTTTTGGTTTCTGTTTGATTGTCTGGTGTTAATCTCTGCTTATTTGGTAATCAGTTGCTGGAGAAGATGTGTTCTGGTCATTTTTATTTCTTTCTTAGCTTTTTATTGCCTCTTTTTAATGGTTTGCAAATGTGGTTTGTCTCTATGTGTCTGTTGATGACTGATTTGTCTGAATGTCAAGCTTCCAGGAATTCCCTATCATTTTGGGGTTTAGCTTGGTCTACAGTAGTCAGTTTCCCAGTTGAAACTATGGTTGAGTCTATCCATGGGTTGTGAAATTAAACAACTTTCATCCTGACAGCTCCTTGATGTTCATGGTTGAATTCTGCTAATTTTCTGCCTGTCTGTCCTAAATAATGGCTGCTACAGCCCGTACACTGTATTTTGTAGATGAGTTCTATTTTCTCTTCTTCAGCTATGGGTCTTTTCATTTACTTAAAATGTTTTGTAGGGCTTTAGTTGCTTTGTCACACTGTGTGACAGTAATCATCTGTTAATAGTTTCTGATGGATGGCACTGTTATCCCTTTCATAGCTTCTGTTGATTTTGCTATGGTGACTTGAGTGATCAGGTACTTTTTGATAAATTTGTGTGGTTATCCATTTTGTTGGAAACAACAGAATCTCTCTGCAATAGAAGCTGGGCAGGCTTCAGTATTACAAAGCCTTATATATGCATAGTTCAAGCTTAGAAAATATGGCTAGTAAATCTCTTGAGTTCTTCTTGTTCCAACCACTTGTCCTAATTGAAAGTGTTTAATAAAGTCTGCCATATAACTTGCTTTATTTATGTGAAAGATTTCCTTGGCTGCTATAGCAAATTATTTGTAAAAATAATAAAGGCAGGATACAAATAAATAAATAAAAAAATAGAGCAAGGATTTACTTTAGTTATTGCTTGCTGGATAGTAGGTAGAATGCTGGCCAAATCATTATAGAGTTAGAAGTAGCAAATCCCATTCCCAACCCTGAAAAGAATTAAATCATTCAATTTTAGTATTCAGAGGAAATCCAGGGAGAAGGAATTACGGACCAGTTTTGTCTGAACTTAGAGACAAATATCGATTCTATGTGGAAATGGACAATAGGGCAGAATTTTGAGGGCAATAGCCAGCCAGAAGACTGAAAGTCTGATTACATCCAGGGCAATTTCTTACATTGATGCTCAAAAGCTAGCATATTAGCTTTATTTTTAACATATTTTTTAACATGCTAACTCTACATGTTAATGTAGAGATTATGTTAAATGGGTTAATATATAGAAAATGGAAACGTCTAAATAAATAATGTTCCAAAATTGGTGTAGCCAGGTATTTTCCATTCATACTCTGCATTCTGACATTCAGGTTTTTCTTTTGAGGATCAAATGAGAAAAGGCTCATTTTTTTAATACCATATTGAGATTCCAGAGGAAAGGCAGGATGTAAATGTAATGCAAATCCAAATTCAATCTGAATACTAGTCACACATTGGGAAAGGAAAGTAGACATGACAGCTTTTGGTTTTTGGGTTTTTTTTGCAATTTTGAGCAAAACATATGCTTCACTTCGATAAAGGTTTAGAGAGCAGCATTCCCAGCCTGTAACCTTCTAAATGTGCTGAATGTCAATTCCCACTTTCTCCAATCATCATAGCTGACTGGGGGCATTCTGAGAATTGAAGTCAATTAATCTGGAAGGATCCAAGCAGAAAGTTGGTTTATAATTCAGTTTTCAGTCACCACAGCAGATCAGATCTCTTGTTCTTGTATATGGTCTTTATTTCTCTGGATGCATAAGAAAATAAGACTAATAAGCTTGCAAAGAATCAGACAAACGTGACTTCACATTAATTTGGGTTCTTTGGGCACTCAGTTCAGTTTTCCCTCCCATGAGTATCTGCGCGTGCAAATACACACATTGCAAAATACCTGCCTTGCCAACATGTATTTTCTCTGCAGGCCTGCAGCTCTGAACAAAATCCTGATCGAATGGCTGGAAGAAGTTCACAAAAATGCTTCGTTGCAAACAACCGCCAAGCTTTGAAGAGGATTTCAGACCACAAATTGGCTAAACCGTTAGCCAATTCATTTACGGAAGGAGGAAATAATTCATAAGATAATTGGTTATGGAGCTCTCACAGTGCTTTTGGAATTAATATATATATATTTGGTTGATCTTTGAAAAATTCAGTGCATTGGAAAGTGTTAGTTATGATTCATATAAAATGGAGTTTTAAAAAATAGCCTAAACAGAATGCTGAAAACATAACCATGCTGAGATTATGTTATCCTTTGATAGCTATCCTTTTGATTATTTTGAGCCAGAGAGAGAGAAAAATAGAAGGAAATTCGTAATGGCCCAGCTCTGTTCACACATCATTTGGACCATGATTTATTTAAGCAGAGATTACTGAATGGATCACAATTGGATGGGCTCATGTAGTATACTGTGTCCAAACCAAATAGTACTGCCCTTTAGCACAAGGTAAGAGCCGTGGTGGCACAGCAGTTGGATATGCAGTATTGCAGAATAACTCTGCTCATTACCAGGAGTTCGATTCTCACCAGTTTATGGTTGACTCAGCCTTCCATCCTTCCGAGGTCGGTAAAATGAGGACCCAGATTGTTGGGGGCAATATGCTAACTTTGTAAACCGCTTAAAGAGGGTTATAAAGCACTATGAAGTGGTATATAAGTCTAAGTGCTATTGCTGATTTGTGATCCGGTTATAATTTCCCTAACATATTGGAATCAAGTTTCAATCCTAATTTGTGGGCATCTTAAATCACAGCTTCTCAGTTCAGATGGATCTAAAAGGGATTTAACAAACTCAGGATGCATCATCTGAAGCAGGCACAAAAACGTTTGTTTAATGCTGTGATTGGGGATGAGGTTGCTCTCCAGATGTTGGTATCAGTTTTATTATGATAGACTTTTTGGGCTGTGGCAGATGGGAGTTGTGCTCAGAAAGGTCTGGAGAGTCATAACCCTGAACTCGGGTGAAATCCAGGTTCTGACAGGTTCTGGAGAATCGGTAGTGGAAATTTTGAGCAGTTTGGAGAACTGGCAAATACACCTCTGGCTGGCCCCAGAGTGGGGTGGGAATGGAGATTTTGCAATATCTTTCCCCAGGAGTGGGGAGGGAATGGGGATTTTGCAGTATCCTTCCCCTGGAGTGGGGTGGGAATGGGGATTTTGCAGTATCCTTCTGCCATGCCCACCAAGCCACATCAATCCACACCCACAGAACCGGTAGTAAAAAAATTGGATTTCATCACTACCTGTACTGGACTTTCTAACTGTGGTATTCAGTTTAACTTCATGATTATGAACTTTCAAGTGTATGTTTTGCAACAGTTTGTGTTCATTTCTAAAAAGATACTATTGATTGGAGTTTTTCAAATTGTGTTCCACTGGAACCCTAGGTTTTCACAAGAAATTGATGGGGTTTGGCAAGAGAATGAGGAGAAAAATTCATTCAAACGTGGCTAAATTTCTACCACTGGAATTCCTGGGATTAAAAAATTGAACATGCCATATGTCTACTATTCATTCAAGCAATTGTATTTTTTCCTGGGATCACAGGGAGAAAAGATGGCTCCATCAAAGAGCTGCAGACTGATTTGCGCTTCTGCATGTTCCAATCCCCTCTTTTGTGAATTGAACCTGAAGCACTATATGCATGTGTTGTGTGTAGCCATGTTAAGCAAGCACTTTGAGAACCCGAAACCCTTCTGAATTTCTTGTACAAAGTAGAAGGACATGAAACATAAACAGAAATATTTCTTTGCATACTTCGCAAAAAAGTATGGATGCTGTTTCTTTCAGCTCAGGTTGGTCTGTATTTTTCAGCAGAGATTTTAAATAGGGGGATTTGGTACTGATATCAGATTTTTTTTTTCTGCATATCGGTGTGCTTTGGTACTGCTGCGAAAATAATTGGTTTCTGAAGAAGCAATTTTAAGAAGGGTGGAATTCTGGGAAGTGAAGTCCACCCATCCTTAAATGAACAATGAGAATGGTTAGAAACTCTCTTCAGTCTCTTAATGGTTTTGGGTGATGCTTAAGCTAATATCTTATACCACCCAGGGTTTGAGGAAAGGTTGAGGAATGTGTCCTTCATACTCATTTCACAAAGATCTCTGCAATAGGTTGGCATTTATGGGTGATTAGAGCAGTATTTCTTAACCTTGGCAACTTTATGGGTGGGTGGACTTCAGCTCCCAGATTTCATACTGTTTGAGGAATTCTGGAAATTGAAGCCCACCCATCTTAAAGTTCTCAAGGTCGAGAAACACTGATTTAAGGCAATCACAAGCTGGCTTGGAATTCTGGGACAAAAATAATGGAATAGATTTGAGTTTTTTTTACATACCAATATGTGCCTTGCTACAGAATAAAGCCCCTTGTCTTCACTGAGTGTTACTCTAAGGCAGGGCTGTCAAACGCATGGCCCACAGGCCAGATGTGTCATGAGCTGGCCACACCCACGCCCGGTTTAGTGAAGGGGAAAAAAGTCCTGATGTGTCACATGATGCCGCCGTGACAATGCGAGTTTGACACCCCAGCTCTAAGGCGACACCAGAAAATGCCTGGTCAGCACTTGAGTGGTACATTCTTGGGTATGCAGTTATCTGGTATTACTTGTAGAATACTAATCAATAGAATAAAAGTTTTGGAAACAGTATTCTTGTGTTCTTGAATAAAGTTTGCTGCAGAGAGAAATGGATCTACAATACATTCATTCCTAGAGGCAGTTCCAGGGATTTACTGATGACTTAAGAACATAATATTTGACTATCTTGGTTTGCTTCAGTGTCTAGTTTCTTATATCCTATGGTGCAAGGCCATAGCGATGGTTCCTTGCTTTTGACCTCTTATGCCTGTCAAACTATATGGGATCAAAATCAAAACTTTTGAATTAAGTATTCCTTTTGCAATCAGAGTTCTTTTCCCTTGTCTGTAGCAATCTGTTGTCTTTCTGCTAGAGTACTTATTATGCAAGATGCTTAAATCATAAAGTGAGCAATGGAGCAAGAAGGTACCAGAGTTGACACTAAATTATATTTTATTTCAGCAAAGGTTCACAACTAACACAGTGTCAAAAGATTCAGGGTAAAAATTTACCAGATATACATACAGTGCATAATACAAAATTTAAAAATTGTGCTGGAGTTCATATGTTGGCAGTTCTATGTTCTGGCCCTTATCCAGCTATCAGTTCAAACAGGTGAAGGGCACACAGGTTAAAAGTCCATTTTACAGTAGGCATTGTATATAGTGGATAGTCTTTTCACATATCACCTTGGTTGTCTTGCTCCTCATGCTGAAGGCTACTCAGAGAAATAAATGTTGATGGTGGATTAACAAAACAAAAACATTAGACATCTTTCATAATGCAGCAGGAGTTCAGCATTGTCACCCAATTTAACTTTAGCCACATCTCAATTCCTCTATTACCAAGTAAGGGATATACAGAGAGATGTTCACTGATGGCTACCATAAATGTCAAGATGCATGCAGAACATTATAAGCAGAATTTTCTTGCACTGGCTACTTCGACCATTTGTTTTCAAGCCATAAGAAAATGAGACATTAAAATCATGTGTGAGCCCATCAGATTCTTTAGATTGCTGCTGGTGAACACTGTCAGGTATTTGTTATGACTATCATTCTTGATATCCTTGTAAAATTTGACTTCAGGTGGTGACATCTAGTGAATAAAACCTCGTCATCAATTGCGTCTCTTGAATTCCTTCTGAAATGAGAAATGTTCTTTAAAAGTTAGCACTCTTTAAGAAGACAAGGATTCTTGTTATTAGAGTCCTTTAACCTAGTATCTGGCCTCTAATAGACCATCAGGCTCGGTTCCTAATATATCCAATACCTATTTTGTGGACTCTGTAATCTACTCTCACTTATGCTGACAAAATTGTACGATGAAATAGGCAGTTTTTCAAGAACTATCATGACTATCATGTATGTTAAGCCACCAACAAGCTTGATAAATCTGTGTTACTTCAAAAAAAAAAAAAAGTGAAAGGAAAAACTAGCAGGCCTAAGAATGTTAAACTCAAGACCCCAGGGGTTACTTAGATCTGGTTCGCGGGGCTGCCCTGGAAACAGCAAAGGACCAGCCTGCAGTGTCTCTGGCAGTATTTCTGCCAGTGAAAACGGAGCTCGGAGGGCCACGGGCGGCCCTCCCGAGCTCCATTTTCGCTGGCAGAGGGTTGCAGGAGGCTGTTGCGGCTGAAAGCTGAGCTTGCAAGGGCTGCGGGTGGCCCTCCTGAGCTCAGTTTTTGCTGGCAGAGCACTCAGGCCACCACAGCCCCTCCCCCCAACATGAGTGACATCAAGCTGACCACGCCCACCCCGGCAAATTGTTTCAAAAAATTTTACTACCGATTCTGTGGGCGTGGTGTGGCTTGGTGGGTGGGGCTTGGTGGGCATGACGGGAAGGATATTGTAAAATCTCCATTCCCTCCACAATCCAGGGGAAGTTTACTGCAAAATCCCCATTTCCTCCCGATCAGCTGGGACTCAGAGGCAGAGAATAGATGGGGACGGGGTCAGCCAGAGGTGGTATTTGCCAGTTCTCTGAACTACCCCAAATTTCCGCTACCGGTTCTCCAGAACTGGTCAGAACCTGCTGAAAGCCACCTCTGACCCCGGCCCATTGAGGTAAAACACAACGCTGATGTGGCCCTCAATGAAATTGAGTTTGACACCCCTGCTATAGAGGGTACAGGCAAATTGCAGTGGGGAGGGGCTTGAATTTTAACATAAGCAGAGAAGAACATTGGTTTGAAAGAAATCAACAGCAATGACAGGATAGTTAATAACTCATTCACCAATGGGGATTGGGGGGCGGCACTAAAATGTATCTCTCCGTTCTGTTTATCTTTCCCCAAATGGGAAAAAATAAGTCAAACCTGGATCCTTTTTTTTTTCCTTTAACAATTTGAGAGGAAGAAAGAATTTGCTTATATATATATTGGTTGAAGGAACTTAAGCACCATATCTGAGGAATCAGGTGAAGCCAGGAGGAAAAAGTAACGTGGAATGAGATGCCCAAGTGGAGAAAATCTGGCTTTTCATGGTCAGGGGGAAAGTATGAAGATTTTACATACAATTATGGGAAAAAGGAAAGAGTAGATCACTCTCTTATATATAATCTTTTATTATAGTCACAGTATTAAGCAAAACATCAAAAAAAAAAAAAAAGGCCCGGATTGAGCCCAACTCTTGAGCTTTAATAAATGGATATACTCTCAATTATTCTGTCTTAAGATCACTGAACTGTCAGTACTTCTATTCAGGGGTGGGTTCTACTTACCTTTACTACCGGTTCACATCACGCCCACATGTGCAGATCACCTGTGATGACGTCCAGGTCAGTGGGCGGAGCCTCTCACCGGTTTTACTACCGGTTCTTGCAAACCGGTCCAAACGGAGGGCAACCCACCACTACTTCTGCTTGTAAAGTAATGAATTCTCTATTTCAGAGACGGGTGATCTGTAACCCTCCAAGCATTGCTAAACTGCAATTTCCAGAAAGTCCAGGTACTCAGATCTATACTAAGAGATTCCCAGAACTGTATTTCAATAACAAGACATTCATTTCTGTAGTGGTACAAACACTAACTTCCTCTGTTCCAATGAGAATCGGGAAAAGATCCACAAACATCTCTTATCACATAGTGGAAAGCTTCCGATCTTACCTGAAATGGCTTCAGGCAATATAGGAAGAGAATTCCTATATTAATGCAGGAAGAGAATTCCAAGCACCAGTGTTACTAAGTCCTAGCTGTCTAGTAAGGTTAAAGTAAGCAGAAGCCAAGATCTGTACAAAGAAAGATATCCAGCACTGATCAATGGTGTGGGTCAGTGTGGGTCTGAAGCCACATCTGGCAATGCTTGAAACCTCTTTCATCACCCTGACTTCAGGTTTCTCATTCCTATTACTCAGCTTCTTCCCCCCACCCCACCAATACTTCTAGAACCTCTCCCTCCCATACCTAAGGAGATTCTTGAGCCCATTTTCTTCCCTTTAAATCTGATAAATGACCATTGACCCCAAGACTATAATTTCAAGCACTGTATGGTCCATTGGTAGGCAAGTGCCTCTGTATATGATTAAAACATTTTTAAAAATCCATAAATGTGTCTTTTGCAGTGAATTGGTTATAGAAGTGCTTCTTGTGATGTATCTGGGAAGCTGTACTCTGCGTCGAATTTGAGCCAGCTGGAGAATAATAAATCGTGAATGAATTCTGGGGGAAATGAAACCATTGGGCGACAAGTGAAAGATTTGGATATGGATTTCATCTCTCCCTTAAGAAAAAGTTCAGGATAAAAAATGCCTGCATATTTGGATTAGGAGAAATATTCAAATCAAGGTCCAGAATCAGTACGACTTAATCCTTTCCCCATTTTTATATATATTGGACATACCAGTTCTTTGCAGAAGTCTCATGTTTGCTGAAGCCTCCTAGGCAAGGAAGAAGATTGGGCAGCCAAGTGAGAGTATCCTGCTCTGCCCAGCTAATCAAATCAACTCTGTGAGCCTTTCTCTGAAAGCTTCCTACATTAGCCGCCTATAGCATAAAAGAAAGGGCTAGTGACAACAGAAGGGTCATAGCTGAAGATACTCTTGTGAGCTGGACCAAAAAACCTGGCAAGCAAAGGCATTTACAACTGCAGTTAAATGTCAAAATGGCAGCCACATCTGCGCTACTGAATCCTGCCTCTTATTTGCAGAAATTCAATCACGTTGGCACAGCCATCATCTTGACTTATTTAACCTCAATAAAAGAGAATATTTGTAGCTATGGGTTGAAATGAGGGGTCCTTGGTTCTCTCTGAGCTTGCTTTTTTTCTTGCAGACGTTTCATTTTACCCTAACAAGGAAACAGCATCAGTGCTAGTAAGGAGTGCTGTTTGCTGTCAGTTTATATTCTCTGTCTGTGTGGCTTGTCTGTCTGTGTGGGTGTGGGGCAGTCTTAGAGATTCTTTGGTTGGGCTGTTTATTGATGGCTCTTTGGCAGTTCCTTGACTGAGGTATTGTTTATTTCATTGTTCATCTGCAATGAAACATCTACAAGAAAACAAGCTCATAGAGCACCAATAGAATAGAATAAAATAGAATAACAGCATTGGAAGGGACCTTGGAGGTCTTCTAGTCCAACCCTCTGCCCAGACAGGAAACCTTACACCACTTCAGACAAATGGTTATCCAACATCTTTAAAATTTCCAGTGTTGGAGCATTCACAACTTCTGCAGGCAAGTTGTTCCACTTATTAATTGTTCTAACTGTCAGGAAATTTCTCAGTTCTAAGTTGCTTCTCTCCTTGATTAGTTTCCACCCATTGCTTCTTGTCCTACCCTCAGGTGCTTTGGAAAATAGTTTGACTCCCTCTTCTTTGTGGCAACCCCTGAGATATTGGAACACTGCTATCATGTTTCCCCTAGTCCTTCTCTTCATCAAACTAGACATACCCAGTTCCTGCAACCATTTTTCATATGTTTTAGCCTCCAGTCCCCTAATCATCTTGGTTGCTCTTCTCTGCACTCTTTCTACAGTCTCAACATCTTTTTTACATCTTGGCGACCAAAACTGAATGCAATATTCTAAGTGTGGCTTTATTAAGGCATTATAAAGTAGTATTAACATTTCACGTGATCTTGTTTCTATCTCTCTGTTTATGCAGCCCAGTACTGTATTGGCTTTTTTGGCAGCTGCTGCACACTGCTGGCTCATATTTAAGTGATTGTCCACTAGGACTCCAAGATCCCTCTCACAGTTACTACTATTGAGCAAGGTACCACATATATGGTACCTGTGCATTTTGTTTTCCTTCCCTAAATGTAGAACCTTGCTTTTTTCACTGTTGAATTTCATTTTGTTAGATAGTGCCCAATGTTCAAGTCTGTCAAGATCCTTCTGTATCTTCTGGAGTGTTGGCTATTCCTGCCAGCTTGGTGTCATCTGCAAATTTGATGAGTTCCCCATCTATCCCCTTGTCCAAGTCATTGATGAAGATGTTGAAGAGCACTGGGCCTAAAACCAAGGACACCTCATTTTTTAAACTTCTCTGCAAGGATGTTCCTGCTAGCAGACAATTGATAGTTTTCCCCTGTTTTGATTTAGGTACCCAAAGCTGTGTTACTTTGCTTACACTTTTCAACTCTGAGATCTTATAAGGAACATTCGTGCTTGTATGTTCCCAGTGTCAAAGCTGCCTAAGAGTGGAAAACTATCTTTGCAGAAAGGGTAACCGTATGTGCAAGGCATAGGCACTTATACTGTAACAATTTAAATATTTATTTATTTATTTTATCAAGTACATATTAGATAGTATATATAAGTATAAGCATGAATTGAATACATAAAATGAATATAATTAAAGGGAACATTAGGAAAGAGATGGTAGGTACGCTGGTGCTCTTATGCAAGCCTCTTACAGACCTCTTAGGAATGGGGTGAGGTCAATAGTAGCCAGTCTAAGGTTAAAATTTTTGGGGTTTTGGGATGAAAACCACAGAGTTAGGTAGTGCATTCCAGGCATTGACCACTCTGTTGCTGAAGTCATATTTTCTGCAATCGAGTTTGGAGCAGTTCACTTTAAGTTTGTATCTATTGTGTGCTCGTGTATTGTTGTGGTTGAAGCTGAAATAGTGAAATATGTGCTGTCTTCCCTGTACCATTTTCTTAAGTGGCACAGTAAGTCACTTGTATGTTATTTTCATACTTATAAGGTCAATTCATACAATTGCAGTCCCATTTTACATCGTTAGGGAAGCTGCTGTACCACTTCCATCTCTGCTTCTGTTGCATTTCTGTTCATCTTGGATGCTGCTGGCCCACCGAGTGTTCAAGCAGCAGCTTTACCGTGATCATGTCCATGTACAACAAGACAGCAAAGAAAGACGAGCATGGAATGTACCCTCAACCTGCAGCGAATCATTGGAGCTTTCAAATGAGAATGTGGAAGCACCTGTTTTGACTGGCTGGCAGCCAGGATCCCATAAAAGCTAACCTTAGCACCAAGGCAGCATATTGGAAACTTGGAAACAGCCTTGATTTTGCTTTTCAATCACATTTGAAGCTAATGCCCCTGCCCTTGTGTATGTTCCATCTGTTTTACAAGAAAAGAACATTCAGCAAAGAGGATTGCAAGAAAAGAATAACTGCTGTCAGGTTTGGCACAGCACGGGAAGATATTAGATTCCCTCTGGAGTTTCTGGAAAGAAAGGAAGCATCCAGTGAAAAGCTGAAACCATGGTCAGTGCATGTGCTTGGTTGGGTTTGTTTTTTTTTAAAGAAAAATTCATTAATTCCAACAACCGTCTTTGAACTTTGGCGTTGAAATCACAAATAGAATAGAGTAGAATATTGGCCAAGTGTGATTGGACACACAAGGAATTTGTCTTGGTGCATACATTCATCAAGAATCATAAGGTACAACACTTAACACTTAAATATTAATTGAAATCCCCATAAGTTCCATAAGCTTTTCTGTTTTTCTTTTTTAATAGTTGTAGTATAAAATACAAAAATAGGAATAGAAAAGGGATGGGATGGGAAGGGAAGGGAAGGGGAAAGTGCAGGAAAAAAAGGGGGGGAAAGGCATTGACTTCCAGCTACCTTTACTGCAGTAAAATAAGATAGTAACATCAAGCCTCATTTTTTTACTTTTACATAATCCTTCTAAGATGAGACTAGAGACTCTCTCAATGCCAGAGTGAGTAAAGGTGCTGAGACCCTAATCCTGGGCTCTTTTGGGCTCTTCTGCATGCAACATAGGCTCTGTACCATTCAGGGATGAATCTTTTTCTCTTCTCCAAGGACAAAATTATGGGTTTCACCCAGAATGGAGGTGAAGAAGCTCCAAGTAAAGGCTACAGATATCAGGAATGAACACAAAATAACTTTTCAATTTTCTAAATGAGGCTGTTCTCCAGTTACAAAAGGGAAGAAATTCTTTTTAGCTGTGTGGGTTCTGATCTTAAAGCATTATAAACAATTCTGGCACCATTAATTGATTAGTATCCTTTTCCTCTTTGTTACTCAAAACTATACATTTAGTTTCAACAAGGGAAAATGAGAGAAACATTGTCCTTTTGCAAGTATTCCTGATTCCTGGGAACTGCATGGCTCATTCTTGCCAAATGAACATAAAAAAGACAGCTGCCTTTATGTGCCATTTCTTGGTATCAGGCATCGTTTTATGCCCTTTGAGTTATCTATTTTCCTACATTATCTTGAAGGTCA